CATCATGGAATTCCGTAGGATTCAACGTTTTTTTTCTATTTTGTAGACGTATATAAAACGTTCACATCACCCCCGCGGCCACTAGAGGCTGCTATATTCATCAAAACTTTCAATCGATTCTCAAATTGCATCACAACCCTGAAACGTAACGACACAGGAAACGATGAGCGGTGTGGACGATTTTTGAGGACCCCCCCTGGGAGGAGCTGTCGTCACACCTCCGGGCAGTGTAGCCTCACCTTGTTTAAATGGTCGTTGGGGAGGTCATGGAAAAGACACGACACAGTCAATGACTTGATAATACGAATTTAGCCTTTAACTGGTATCTTTGGGTCGCCTTTCTCAAGGCTCTGTTGCGGGGGTGATCCGGCTCTTGCCAACGCAACTCCCAGACTATGAAACGCTTTGCCTTTTTGGTTAATGAGACAGTCGTGAGAGCTATTTAAGTGTGCTTTGAAAGCTCATCTCTGGCCTGCAGGTTCCATTTATTCCCTACATTCCGCTCCTCCGATTGAGCACGGTAGGCTAAGGACGATGCAAAAGATGTTCAGCGTGCGTAGAATTGCATGAGACGGTGGCGCGTTGGGATCTACGGACGAAATGCGCCTTACAAATGTACATTATTATGAACACCCTCCGGCAACCTCCAGCCCCCCCTCTGAGACGCCAGAGGGCTCCTCACCTGTATTGCCATCTTCTTGGTTCTTTCGGTAAAGTCGCGTAGGAGGGAAATAATAAAATAATAAAAATTAAACATAATAAAATAATTCTCACGACGTTTCGGCCACAACGCAAGCAGCCGTCCTCAGGTGAAGAACAGGTCTGTCGGAAAGACAGCGTCTGAATGAAAAAAACAAGAAGATGAATCCCTGCAGTCACGAAAGCTTTAAATCGAAACTGTATTGCCATGGCAAGAGAAAGAAGGCGCCCGGGTGGGGGGGCGGGGGGGGGCGTGGGGGGCGGTGGGTGGGCAGGGGGGGCGCTGCACACAACGGCAGCTACGAACCAGTCCCAGGGCAGAATCTTCATTGATCCGGTGATTCAAGTCGCCAGCGATGTGCGTCTGGGTTCGAGATGGGTTCGAGATGGGTTCGAGATGGGTTCGAGATGGGTTCGAGATGGGTTCGAGATGGGTTCGAGATGGGTTCGAGATGGGTTCGAGTCTCCGTACTGGCAGGAGAACACCTCCCGCTCGGACAGCGTCCAAATGTGCACACTGGAGGTGGGCCCTGGCATTTATTATTTTTATTTCTTCAACCTTTATTTCGTTTTTTTTGCGCCTTCGCGCGCCTTGCAAATGAAATTGATTTCTACACCTTGATGCATTATCGAGATGCAAGCTTTCATCAGATAGAAGTAAAATCATTTTGTGCCCAATGCGGCAGCAGAACACGTTCGCATTACTCACCGCGCGCAGCCTTGGTGATTGTAATGCTTCTTAACGGCACTTTCAATGCGGTTTCATATCTCACCGTCAATACAGCTCGCTGCCTACATTCCCGTTCTGTGACACGTAACACAAAGCATGCATATTGCATGCCCTCGCTCTTTAACAAAAATTGCACCATGTTTACACTTCCTCCGGAATTTTTTCGCCGGCCCTCATGCAACGCGGTCCGATGGTTTTGTTTTTGTTCATGCGGTTGCATTCAGACGCTATATATAAAAAAGAAAAACTGCATCACGAAACGTCACGGTACTAGAATTGTTAATGTGGTGGGGTTTGCTATCCAACACACCGCTGTCCTATACTAATAACGAATTGCCACGTTTTGTTAACGTGATAAACCTTACTAAACGGCTGCGTCGGATGGTGGCAGGTCCAGAAACACATTTATATTTACGCGATCTAACCCAAAAACATCTATTTCGGATAATATCGGTCGCGAAAGCCGACGTATTGAACTGCATCGTATTATATGGGCTGATCCATCTCTAGACACCCCACTGATGTTTTTAATACTCCCTCTCACGTGCCGCTCAACATGTGACTGACACATTGTGAAAGCGATGACTCCGTATCTCACAGAGGAGAGAGAAAAAAATAAAATGTATTAAGTTTATTGCAATTGATGGGAGACTTTAACACGATTGGTTGGCCTCTCCATAATTGCTCCATGTTATTTGAGTGGGGTATCCATAAATGGATCGCCCTGTATACTGAACAACGGTAGTCCATGAGGGTATCAACCATTATCTTAACGTACATGTAATATACATTAAAATATACATTAAAATAATGTAATATATTATTTTAGTCGACGTCCTCTCCAACGTAATATACATGATTTCATTTCAAAGTGCACGATTGCAATGTGGGAAAACACATCTGATCATATCGTCGTCTTGTTCATCTTCGATCGCGAAATCGCTCGTGGAAGCATTGTGACCGCCACGCATTGCTTCAAGCCGTCCCGATCTCCCGCTCTTTCTCGTCGCTTCCACCATCGGCATCACCCGCCTGTCCGCTCATCGCATCTCGCCGTCCCATGGCCGGTCATCCTCATTATTTCCTTCCCTTAACTCTTCCTCGCCGGATATATATATATATTTTTTTTCTCCAGGCAGCGCTCCGTCTCCTACTCAGGATGTAAAGAAAACAGAAGATGACAGTTTCTTCACGCTGATATCGTCCAATTCTTTTTGAACATCCTATTTTTACAGCGCCCGTTTAATCAAGTTCTCTCTCTCTCTGCTATTAGTATTCCGAGCGCTGTTCTATAGCATCACAATTCAAAACTCGCTATTTTCTTCCCGTCGCTTTGTCTGTCAGCTCCAACTTTCACAACCGTAAGCGGCAACCGGGAGAGTGACTGATCGGAGGAAAACTAAAAGTTTTGCGACGTTGGTAGCCTGCGGTCATTCTAAACAGTTTTCACTTCGACCCACTCTTTCCTTTGTTAACCTCCTCCCAATCTCTGAAGCACACTCTCCCTTGTTCTTGATCATCATCACCACCATCATCGTCGTCGTCAGTACACTGCTGGATGAAGACCTCCCAAAGCTGGCACCACCTTCTTCTTGGCTCTTTCGGTGAAGTCACGTAGAAGGGAAGTAATAAAATAACAAAAATAAAACATAATAAAATAATTCTCACGACGTTTCGGCCACAACGCAAGCAGCCGTCCTCAGGTGAAGACCAGGTCTGTCGGGGAGACAGAGTCTATTTTATTATGTTTTGTTTTTATTATTTTATTACTTCCCTTCTACGTGACTTTACCGAAAGAACCAAGAAGATGAATCCCTGCAGTCACGAAAGCTTTAAATCGAGACTGGCACCACCTCTCGCGATCTCGCGATCCTTGCGCTGAATCACTCACCGAGCTCCTGCACACAAACTGATTTCATCGCTCCATCTCTCTCCCATCCGCTCCGCAGTGGACGTCCTCTCCAACGCGTTCCATTCCTTGGCTGCCGCTCCGTTGTTCTTATTCCGTCGACCGTTCGACCCTTCCGCCCGAGCCCGCTTACTTCTCGTCATACTTTGAATGATGTCATTAACCTGCGTTTATACGTTCTTACTCCTAGGTATTTTAGGTAAAGTCACGTAGGTAAAAAATTATAAAATAAAATAATAATAAATGTGAATAAATCAATTTTATCACGACGTTTCGGAGGCAACACAAGTCTCCGTCTTCAGGTGGGACCGTCACAGCTAAATTTACTTTATCAAATTTAGCTGTGACGATACAATAAATTTAGCTGTGACGGTCCCACCTGAAGACGGAGACTTGTGTTGCCTCTGAAACGTCGTAATTTAATTGATTTATTTCATTTATTATTTTATTGTATTATTTTTTACCTACGTGACTTTACCGAAAAAACCTAAGAGTATGAATGCTTGCAGTCGCGACAGCTTCAAATCTAGAATGTATACGTTCTCTAATCCACGTGTTCCTCTTCCCGTCTCTCAATGCGATTCCAAACATGCGTCTTTCTCCACACTGTTTTTTTTTGCACGCTCACTTATCCACGGATCCCTACACAAATCGCACCACTGCTTCGATCTGTTCTCCGTACTCGTGCCTCGACCGTATTAACTTCATCCATCAACCGTAACCTTTCTTTGTATTCAGCATTATAGCTCGCCCCGCTGTTTCATCATCCTCTCCTTTAACCAGTCTCTTTAGGTGCTCCATTCCGCAATGCATTCCCCTTATCGTCCACATCATAATACTAGTTTTGTTGAAGCCTCTTAAAATGTATTATATATCATAGATCCCTTGACGAACTCTCATTCCAACGTTGAACCAATTAGTACATTTAGCTGCCCGTTCTTGATGCCATCTCCTGCCTTTCGAATGACTTGCTAAATGAGATGCATAATACATCTTGGAAAGCCTCTCCTATCCAGAATTATCCCACAGCTTTTTTGTGTGTGGATCACAATGGGACGTTTGTGTAATCCACGAAGCATAAGGATAATGAATTTGCACATTCTGTACACTTTTCAATGAGCAGCCTCGGTGGTAAATATTTGGATCGCGGTTTTCTTTCCTGCCTGGAATGCCGCTCGCTCTTTTGGTATTTCGCCTTATTTTAGCCAACCATGTGATTGGGTTTATAAACTAAAAACTTAACTGAAACTATTTTCTTTACCAGGTAAAGCCCATTGAGCTATTAGCTCTTTTTTTTCGAAATGATCTGGCCACAAATCATATTTCAACGAAGTGGTTTATTACGTGGACAGTTATAGCAGCCAAATACTCTAAACGCACGCTTCTAAATGTGGTGGAAAAGCCGGTGGACCCGGAGAACAATCCACACGACCATCGGGAGAGAGAGACACGCAAACTCCAAATTTACAAGCGTACAGGGTCGGGATTGAACACGCGACCTCCTGCATACCAGGCGAGGGAGTTAACATCTCGCCACCGGGGCATCCCAAAGCGGCAATGTCCCCAACACCACGTGAGACAAAAGCGACGGTTTGGACGGAAAAGTTGTTCTTGCTCGTGACGATGAACTGCCACGTAACGGTAGTTGCACCTGGATTTCTGATTTGCATGGTTGGTTACGTGCTGTGCGGAAGAAGTTCACCATACGGTACGTACAAAAGGGGCAGAGGAGTGGCACGGTTTGTTCGATTCTCGGTCACGGCTAGCATCGGTGGCGAGTGATAATCCGAAGCAGGCCAGGGTGCCCCGCTTCGCCGATGTGGTAAAGTATGGTCAAACAACCCCCAACCACCAACATGCGAATGCGATGCCTTCATCCAGCAGTGCGCTGATGATAACAATAAGGCTCTAAGTTTCACACGTAGACTTTTCCGAGCAGCAATATTATCCGTAAGAGGTTGTTCTGGGTTAGATTGCGTAAATATGAATGCGTCACTCTTTGGTTCTTTCGTTAAAGTCACGTGCAAAGAAAATAAATGAAATAATAAAATACGACGTTTCGATTGCAACACAAGCAACCATCATCATGTAGAACACACATAGACACATAGTGTGTCTATGTTGTGTGTCTCTGTGTTGTCTCTCTCTCTGCTCGTGTGTCTGTCTGTGTGTCTCCGTGTCTGTGTTTTGTCTCTCTCTCGAATTTAGTTCTACCTGATGACGGTTGCTTGTGTTGCAATCGAAACGTCGTATTCTATTATTTAATTTATTTTCTTTCCACCTGACTTTACCGAAAGAACCAAAGAGTAATTCCCGCGGTCACGAAAGCTTCAAATCAAGTTAATAAATGTGCCGTTAACCCCACCACTTCCCGACACAGCCAATTAGTAAGGTTTGTCATGTAAACAAAACGTGCCAATTAGTTGCTAGTTCCGCATTGTTGCAAAGTAAACCTACAACATTCACAATTCCAGTACGACGTTTCGCAGGGTATTACAACCAGCCTCATCAGGCGGCAGCCGAATTGTGGAGAAGTCCTCCTGTTTCAGCCTCAAATAGAGGGGATCAATGTAATGTCGTCACTTGTGAGCGAATCATGTGTAAGTTATGATTATCGTGATATAATCATGGCAGTGATCTTTCCAGTCCACTTTTAGAAAGAGCGATGCTGCAAAAAAAAGACGACTTGCTTAAATGATAATTCAAATCCCAAACTGTATCTATATTGACAATTTATACTGTCCATGCAACCCAGCGTTGTGACCTGGTGTTTGTTAAGTGGTGTTTAATTGATCAGCGCTTGAGTAATGATGCCGGTACCGGGGTCCTTCCATTGACTATTAAGCCGTCTCTAAAAACTTTTGACTGTTTTCTTGTAACCCCAAGTTGACCCCGACATGTCACCACAGCCGAATGTGTCAGATGCGCGCGATCGACTGCAATGACGATGCAATCGCCACGCCTCGCCGTTTGTTCCGCGGCACGGGTCTCGGTTACATTATGCAATGATTTAGCGAAATGGTGTGTCGGGGTCAAACGGTTGCCACTATAACCATTTGTATTAAGTGCCCGTCTTTGTCAGCTGGATTGGATGCAAGCTGATCGGTAAAAGCAGCTGCTCCCCCCCCTCACCTTGTGAAAGCATGAGTTCCGATCCCAGTCAGGGTTAAATGATATAATTCCTAACAGCGTGCTTCAGCCGCACCGAACCTCACGATAATAATATACAGGGCCTACCTTGGCTCCTCCCACCCTCAACCAGTATATATACAAGGACTGTTTTCTTGGAATTTCTCTTACTTGATACAGCTATTGTGCTGTGACGGTTCCACCTGAAGACGGAAGCTTGTGTTGCCTCCGAAACGTCGTGATTTTTATTTTATTTATATTTTACTTTTATTAATTTTAACTATAATTTTTTTGCCTACGTGACTTTACCGAAAAAACCTAAGAAAATGATATCCTGTCAAGGATACCCCCTCTTGGGATTCGTGAACGTGAGCAATGAGTGGAGAACGTCAATACCGCTGGCTGGTTGTCCGATTGCCTGACTGGCCGAGACGTACACGCACAGAGCCTCCCCCCCCCCCCACTCGTGTCAATCCACTGCTGGACGAGGAACCTCCCCACGATGGGCGCGCCGTGGGGAGGTTCGGGCACGTCGGGGAAATGATGGGGACTCAAATCGCCATCAGCGAGCCTCGGCGCTGCCGTGTGACGCGAACGGGAGGTAGAGGGGGTGGCCACGCAGGAGGAGGAGGAGGATTGACGGCACAAAGGAGGACGAGTTGGGAGAAAGACTGCGTACACAAGCCATCGGAGAGCGAATCGCAGAGTCGAATCAGTACGTCGAGTGCCGACTGACCGACGAGTAGAAAGTGACAAATATTATACATTCTCAGCAACGATGATGATGATGTCGGATGGAGGAGTAGCGTGCATTTCACAGTTTGATGTTAACTTTTGATATCACGTCGGGAGCCGAGGGAGCTACGGAGCGAGTCTCTGGCACCCGTCAGAGGAGATGAACACAGTGGAGGAGTTCCTCACTCGAGCAGCCCCCTTTGTCTGAAGTTGTTCACCGCATTCCCACAGCGTGCACGGGGTGTCATTGAGCCTCGCAGCGTGCACAAGGATGGGTTGGTGAGTAGGTTGGATGAGTGAGTGTGTTGGATGAGTGAGTGTGTTAGTGAGTGTGTTGGATGAGTGAGTGTGAGTAGTTGGATGAATGAGTGTGTTAGTGAGTGTGTTGGATCACTGAGTGTGTGAGTGAGTAGTTGGATGAGTGAGTGTGTTAGTGAGTAGATGGATGAGTGAGTGTGTTAATGAGTAGGTTGGATGAGTGAGTGTGTGAGTGAGTAGTTGGATGAGTGAGTGTGTTAGTGAGTAGTTGGATGAGTGAGTGTGTAGGTTGGATGAGTGAGTGTGTTAGTGAGTAGTTGGATGAGTGAGTGTGTGAGTGAGTAGTTGGATGAATGAGTGTGTGAGTGAGTAGTTGGATGAGTGAGTGTGTTAGTGCGTTTTATTGGATGAGTGAGTGTGTGAGTGAGTAGTTGGAAGAGTGAGTGTGTGAGTGAGTTGTTGGAAGAGTGAGTGTGTGAGTGAGTAGTTGGAAGAGTGAGTGTGTGAGTGAGTAGTTGGATGAATGAGTGTGTGAGTGAGTAGTTGGATGAGTGAGTGTGTTAGTGAGTAGTTGGATGAGTGAGCCACTCCCGTCACTCGCTCGCCGGCGGTCGATTTAGTCGCCTCTTCTCCAG